GTGGGCGCTTATCAGAGCAGGGTGCTTATTACATCGTATACTGTAGTCATATATGGATATCAGTTGTAGTTGTACTGGAGTGGAGAACTACATCTGATATCCACTCCACTGTATAAACATTGCTTCCTACCTGTATATATACTTGTCAACCACTTGCTTGGTAACAGTGTAAGAACCTACACTCTTAATTGTAATAAAGAAGTTCATCCATAAATTTTATCCTTACTTATTCAGAGGCTTAGGACAGGTTTATGTACTGCACACAATAACAATATTTATTGTATTACCGTATTCGACGTAATAAGCGCCCTGTTATTAGAATATTATTTTGGTTGAAAAAAAACAGTGTTGAAAGATAAATTTCGTGGTTTATGCTGACAGCCTGAAATCTTTATGTACGACAGATATATTGTTCCAGAATTATATTGCCCATAATTAAGGGTGCATATAACACACGAGTGTGTCTTTATATTATTATTTGTCATGATATAAGATCCATTTGTTTATATAATAAAAAGAAAACTATATTTATGCTTGTGAAATTTGTGTATAAAATGTTCAAGATAAGCGCACGTGTATATCATACAGTAGTAACTGCATGAGTTGTATGGGTCTGTTTGTCAAAAGAACAATAAAAGATTGTCATTGTCATCCTTGTCTTATGATTATGGAAATAGTTTTTGTGACTTTTATTATCATACAACCATGTACATCACATGATCCTAGGTAGTAACAAGGTAGTACAGTCAAATATGCTTAATTTGAGCGACCAATGAGTTCAAATATGAGAAAAATGTCAGATCAATATCATTTTGAGTCAGGCTTATAGTCTGGAAGTTAATTTAAGGTACCGACGTTTACTACAATATCTGAAAAACTATTGGACCTACTCCAGTCAAAGTTGGTATGAGATTATGAAACAGTCATACATAACTGGATATTACATTTAAAGACAATCGGTGCATGAATAAAAAATCTGTCTATTTAGCTATCACTATATTTCATCAACAACCAGACCTGTTCGTCACGGGTGGACTGAGCATTCATTGTAACAGCCATCTGCATAATGCTACCCCTGTGTCACAGGGCCATATGACACAGTTGAACCAATCAAATTAAAAAATTAAATTAAAAAATGATGGCAATAAAACATGTCACCAGCCTAGGTTGGTGTGTCAGTGTTCTCCAAAGGCTAGTAGGATTTAAGGATTTTTTATTTTATTTAACTTAATTATTTATTTATTGATGGTTTGTTGTGTAACGCCGCACTCAGCAATATTCCAGCTATATGATGGCAGTCTGTAAATAATTGAGTCTGGACCAGACAATCCAGTGATTAACATCATGAGCATCGATCCGCGCTATTGGGATCGATGACATGCATCAACCAAGTCAGCGAGCCTGACCACCCGATCCCGTTAGTTGCCTTTTACGACAAGCATGAGTTGCTGAAGACCTATTCTACCCTGGATCTTCATGGGTATATTTATTTATTGTAAAGAAAAAACTTGGGGTAGGGAATGAGCATTCTTTAACTGGGGCAAGGGTAAAGATCTTCCACTGAAAGATAAAGTATAATATTTTTCAACCACAGACAGACAATAGTTTTCAAATCAGATTTGATAGGTGAAGATCTTACTACACCTCCATAGCAGGGCGAGTCAGGTGATCACTGAGTGACCCTTGACCGCTACATCTCTCAAAATGTGCAGGTTCTTGAGCCATTCAGATGTCAGCTTTCTAAAACAATTCAGCTTCTTTTCCTTACGACCCCGATTTGGAAATTTGAATCTTACCGATAGAAAATCACCACAGAACACAAATATATACTCGATCGCACTCTGTTATGAGCATAGATGCCATGGGCTTTGAAACAACTGGGTGTATAAAATATCCACAACAAAATACGGGGGTGGCATTGCATTTTTGCATTTGAAACTTCTCAAATTCTTAATTTTTATGATGCAGAAATGAGAAATGCTTGTCTGAATGATTCACTCACTTGAGAGTTCACAAGCCTCCACTCTCATTGGTAGAAGGGAAAGTTCACCTGGTGCAACCTTTTATAAAGGTGTTCTCAGATCTTTAAGCAGAGCGGTATCGTATCAGAGGAAAAATTCTGATTTTAAGGATTGAAAATTTGTTGGCAAGAAAGAAAGACTCATAAGTTAAAATCTAGACAATAATAACATGGTGGTTTCAAGGATGTATTTCAACAGAACAAATATGAAACTTAGCGAAAACACGATGATACAATATGCATGTTTCCATGTCGATGAACGAAATTTGTCACATCTCCATTGAGGTAATCAAGAATGATTGAGTCGACACAGTACAACCTTTTAGAATTTGTGAATGCTGGCATTGCGGGTCCTCTGAAGTCCAGGATATTCTAGAGATGCACATTCAATTAAGGTACCAAAAGTCCCATTCACATCTGTCATACAGTTAACATAATTTTCTCTTCTATTTCAACAAAAAATGAGCTCATTATGTCCTAAAGTAGGCCTTGGCTCCTAGGCTTTGGCCAATCGGCAGTAAAGGCTGCTACGTATCAATAAAATCCAACACTGGTTGTTCATGCTATCAACCACTGGTCTGTCAGATCCTGTCGGATAAGGAACAGCATCAGTTGGTATATTTATGCATACAGCCTAAAAATCAACTGTTGAACAAATATGCATTGTGCTGAAATTGATTAAAATATATTTTTGAAGCTAAATAACATATGTCACCCTTAATCATTAAACTGGATGTTGAGACAGCACATGTTACAAATATCCATAAACAGATTATCAAAGACTTCATTTAAATCATCACTACTGAGAAATAACAAATCCCACTTGTAATATATCTGTACTGTTATAAACTGAAACAAATACAATTAACATCAAACAGTGCCACACAATAGGTGTGATGTTTCCACATAACACATTAAGAATGTTAAGAAAAAAAGTCAATATGAGAATTTACTGTTAAACAAATTAAGAAATATCAGCCACCAATTACTGATGAACGAGTAAGGTTATTATGTCGAACTTCAAAGCTCAGTTCATCTGATCAGTTTCAGACGGCCCTCATTGAGCCAGTTACTGATTTAGTACAATACGAACAGTAATGAACCATTGACAAAACATTTGGAGACAGATTTAGCTACAAAAGATGTGTTTGTCTCATGGTGAATTACCATCCCTAATCCTGTGAAATAGTGGACACTAATTGTAATCTTGTTTCAATTGTCTGCAAACACATTACTTAAAACAACACCATCTCGCCCATAACGAGATGAACAGATTGTGAGCCCAACTTGAACATGTGTTGAAAGAATAATTGACAGACAATAATCCTCATAAGTCACCAGAGAAGTGATGAATGGCTTAATTAGTAATTACCTGGGACGCTAGAAACAGATCACATGTTGTGGTGAATGTTAGGAAGGAAATGTTCTATGCTCTTGGCAACGAGATAATCCAAAGAATCTTTCATCACTAACTCATACACTGCATCACACAAACATTAAGGTTTTTGTCATCTCTCTGTGAGACTATTCCATTCACTGTTAACTTAAGAAGACTATCATTGGAAATTAAAAGTTTGATATGAAACTTTACAGATCAAGATGGGAACTTCTTTATCAGTAGTCACTAGGACTGTGACAAGTCCAAATTTACTACCTGGGTACCCATACCCCTATTACCCGACCCTACCTGGGTACCCGCTCTAGGTCTCAAGAGATACTAGTACAAAATGTCTGACTGGGACATATTGGTAACTGTAAAACGATCTGGTCATGCGAACACTGATGTTGACTGAAGTTTTATCTGTATTCAAACATGTGAAAGTCAGTAGTAATACATGCATAGTCAGAAAGAACATTAGTGACATGAAGTGTGACCATGGAGTTAAAGTGATTTTTTGTCATTAAACAAAAGGCCCATGAAGATCAAGGGTAGAATAGGTCTTCAGCAACCCATGCTTGCCGTAAAAGGCGACTATGCTTGTCGTAAGAGGTAACTAACGGGATCGGGTGGTCAGGCTCAGACTTGGTTGATGCATGTCATCGATCCCAATTGCGTGGATCGATGCTCATGGTGTCAATCACTGGATTGTCTGGTCCTGACTCGATAACTTACAGACCGCCGTCATATAGCTGGAATATTGCTCAGTGCGGCGTTAAACAACAAACAAACAAACATTAAACAATAGGTGAGGTGAGGTGAAATTGGGTTTAACGTCGCGTCCAAGATTATTGCACTTATATAGCGACGTGCATGCACGTGTGTGTGTGTGTGTGTGGCTGCTTGTACTAGTCCGGACTGATGCCGATTTATGGTGCTAGCTCACTGAGATACAATGCCGCAGTTTAACATGAATACCCCACTCAGACACAGTTTACTGACTCCGAGCCGACCAGTCCTTGTTTTAGCCCCTTAATGCCGAGCGCCAGACAGGGTAACAACAAGTACCATCTTTTAACGTCTTTTGGTATGACGCGGCCGGGGATCGAACCCCGGACCTTCCGCTCTCCGGGCGGACGCTCTACCACAAGACCACGGAGGCGGCCATTAAACAATATATCACGTGACTATATATATCATGTGAAATAATAAAGAAGATGTCATTCATAACCATACTTGGCGTTCTCACTAATGCTTGCATCACTTTCTTAGCTTCTCAGTGGTTTTACCCCTAGAAAAGATTACCAATTGTACACTGATATGCAACTTATCTCATCATATCAATATTTCCAGAGAAATGTTTTAGCAGTCTGACATGTGGAAACTTAACCTGACTGTTGACCCTCGCGAACGTTTCATTGAAGCTTCATTCATTTTGTGGGATAGGCTGGTCTGGTTTCAACACGCACATGCATGTGTAGCAATCATTGTATGCAACTTCGAATCTTATCAAAATTGTGTTTCACTCGTTAGATATATAGTTTTTTATATATATATGACTTCAATTAAAATATTGTTTTGTTTTAAAGTTTTGTTACATACCTGGCCTGTAATGCCGGTGATAAGTGCAACTCTTCGTTCGCTTGCCTGTGAAGACGCCATCTTGCTGTCGTGGAATCCCTCAAAAGTCACGTGGTTCCTCTAAATATAGCAAGAGAACATCACGTGACAGTCCACGTTGTCGGTGTGCTAATAATAACCCGATTACTCGCACGCTGGGTCTAATTTTAGACAGGATTTTCCACAATAGCATAAGACAATTTATACCCCAGTGCGAGTGTCAGGCGGTGATTGGCTGTTTCCTAGCAACGAGCGACGCGTCCCTTGGCTCTCGACCAATGGAATGTTGATTATTTGCCCTGCATTGTTGTCCCTTGAAAGCGACCAGGGCATGATCGCGACATGTTGTAAATAAGTTCAGGTATTAACGGTTATCCTCAGTAGTGCAACAGATGCATCTAACCGGCTAAGATCACATTAGGACGATTATAATCAATCATGAACGAGAATGAGGTAGCGATGTCTCGGGGTGTGGATATATTTCTCCAATCGATCGGATTACAAGGATATATATCCAGCTTTCTTCACAAGGGTTATGATCGGGAGACAGACCTACAGCACATCGGGGAGGAGGATTTAGATGAGATGTGCATTACGAATCCCTCCCATCGGCGTGACCTACTTTCGGCAGGTAAGTAAAGCAGCTGATGGAATATCGGATTGTCTGAATGCAGGTATGCTTACAAAGGCTTAAGGGTCTTACCATCATATGGTATGGTCTATGTACACAATCATTATAATCGGTCTTAGTACGATAGTTAAACATTGGAGAGAGACATTTGCATATACTCGGGATTCTGACATTACGATTAAAATCGGATTTGCATGTAAACTATACCATGGGATTATATAGGTCCGTGACTATACTGAAGACTGAAGAAATGTCCTTTTTAACCATGATTGATATGTGACTGTATTTTTACAATTCTATATTCTATCATGGATATCAAACACCTTCATATAATCAGATACCATATAATTATATGGTCTCTGATATACATTTCCATAATGCACACATATATTTGTTAATTACCGAATGTCATATTCTAGTAGTGTGTGCGTTATTTGTGAACTGCATGTTGACCTCAGATTATATTACGTCATGGTCAACAAGTCGAGCTTGTTGACAAACGAGACTGGGCTGATGTTCCGCTTGGTCTGTCAGGTGTGCCGTGCGTGTTCATTTGAGAACGACGGGAGTATGAACAACTCTTTGTAACTGTAACAATGTAACGCTACACAATCACGCTTTAATGACCCGAAGGTGTGTGGTGTTGATTGGTGATTGCACAATCAAGCTTGTACCCACCGCTGTAGATGGTCGGTACTTGAGTGATGACGAGCGCAGACTGTGTAGGGGCCTATGGCAAGGATGGCGTCAACAATACACTGTTTGTCAGGGTTGATATAATTACGCGACAACATATTAACGCCCGATGTGTATACAATGTATGTTCAGTGAATCTGTTTCTTCATATGGGTTTGCTAATGGTGTATTGGAATGTGTCTTTCATATATGGAAATGTTAATGTTGTATTGGAATGTGTCTTCACGCGGAAATGTTAAAGCAATTATGGTAACAGTAGAATGTTTAATATTTATGCAGTTATTGCAGTTTAAATTTAGCTGATAGAAATACCAGTTCTAAATTGTTCGAAACCTGTTCGAAAATGAAATGTTTGTGTGTTTGTTGTTTAACGCCGCACTCAGCAGTATTCCAGCTATATGACGGAGGTCTGTAAATAATCGAGTCTGGACCAGACAATCCAGTGACTGACACCATGAGCATCGATCCACGCAATTGGGATCGATGACATGCATCCCGTCAGTCGCCTTTTGCGACAAGCATAGTCGCCTTTTACTGCACAAGCATGGGTTGCTGAAGACCTATTCTACCCCGGATCTTCACGGGTCCGAAGTATAATCTTAATATCTTTAACTGGCAGGGTAAATCTGGGATTCGAACAGTCGAGCAAAGGTTTCCAGTACGCCTGATGATCGCAACACTGCACAGCGAATTGCAGCGACTGAGACGACTAGTAGTGAGTGAGTTGGGTTTAACGCCGCTTTTAACAGTATTCCAGTTATATCACGGCGTGTCAGCTTAATGTGGGAGGAAAGCCCGAAGTGATGCAGGTCTCAGACGTTTACCACTTCGGTGAAACCCACGAGCACGGGTATGGTGCAGTCAAACCTAGAAACATAAACGGGGCGAACCGAGATTCGAACCCACAATCATAGGTTTCTGGCGTGCCCAAGTGACGCAACTCTGCACAGCGAATCGCGGCGCCTTAGACGACTGGGCCACCCGTGCCCCCGACTAGTAGTAGTAGCAGTAGTAGTGCAAATTCATCAATGCCAGTTCCTTTCCTTCACAGCTAAAAAGCACAAGGTGAGCGAGGAGAGCAAGTTGCTTGAATGGCTGCGAGGGTATGAGCTGGAGCATTACTTTATAGGCTTTATCGGGAGCGAGCTCGTGGACCTGGACGACATCGCACGTCTCAGTCTTCCCGACGTCACCATGTACGACGAGCTAGAGATGACGATGCCGGGCCACCAACGACGACTGGAGAGGGCAGGTGCGTGGTCTAGAACAGTAGTTCTCCCCAGTTCATCGCTGGTGTATCATGGAAACAGCCCACGTGACAGCTCGTGCAGCTGACGTGACTATGACACCCCAACAACTTTATAACATACATATAGCGCTACCTCAACACCTATTAGGAAGCTGAAATATACATTCAAAATACAGTGAAACACTTTTATTTTAATCAGTAATTTGAATTTTATTAGCAACTTTTTTTTCTCCAGAAATACAATCATGCCATCATCAGAAAATTCCACGAGTCATCAAAATCAAAGCTAACGAAGCTACCCACCCCATCCCGTATTTTCCACCTGTCACTTGCACAGTGGGACTTACTATTATGTATTATATGGCTGTACAGAGATTTAATATACAGTAAACTACGGTTATAACGAACTAACGGATATAACGAACTAACTTTTTAGTCCCGACTATATGCTGTATATATGCTCATAACGAATTACGGTTATAACGAACTAAAATTAGTAGTCCCTTTGAGTTCGTTATAACCGTAGTTTACTGCATATGATTTCAACCACACAAATACAGATAATAGGATAGCCGTAGCATAAATTAACAAGTATTCATTCATTTCGTGATCGTCCCGAAAATTGAGTATTTCTTTCTTAGCTCTTAACTTTTCATTTTGTTTCCTATCCCTCCCCCAAACAACCACCCTACCCCCACTCTCCCCTAGCCCAGTGTCAGTATAATAAGACTGGTCCCGAGAACAATTATCAGAAATGAAAGTCGGTGGAACGCAGGGAATGTCGACCATAAGCCAACAGCTGACATAGCCGGGATTCTTGCGGATAGCCGACACCATCACCAGTAAGAAAATAATGACGGGGAAGCTACGGATTAAAATATTACACTTAGCTGGCAACAGATGGTTTTTAAGCCCCTACATACGTAATCCTGCGAAGTGATATCTTACAGATTCGTATCCCTTTAACAATATTTTCATAGAAACTATTAATGGCAGGCTGCCGCCTTTAACGCGGTCCTGAACTATTGAGTAATGGCTACAGTGTGTTGGCGGTGATTGTACAAACCTGTTCTGAAATCAACGACCACAGGAGCTACTCAAGCATGATGCTACCTTCATTCTTTTGTAAAATATTTTTCTATCACGTTATGAGGTCAAAAGTCAAATCATGACTGTTAAATTACTTCGTTTGAAATATATTCCCATGAGAAAATTTCATAAGCAATATGAATAGACGCTCGGCGGTCTGGTGACGTAACTAGGTCATGTGATGTAGACCTGTTTAACCCACATACGAATGGGCATGTTTACATCCTCGAAGCGTCTCGGACTGGGTGTCGTGCTTCTGACCTAGTACCGCGGACTTGTGACGATGGCACTGTTTGCTCTGTATTGTGTATGGTATCGTAAAGTCTACCCCTCTATACATAGAATACCCGTATGTCTCGGCAAGAAAACAACATGAACTGTATATTTTGTTCAGCGTGGGCCCGCATGTTTATTTCGACCCCCAGCAAGTGTAAGTCGTATTTATTACTAACATTGACATCACGCGTACTTAAACTCGACACGGGATTTAGTCATACAGGTAGATAAGATATAAGAATAAATAGACGCCCTCTACATACATTATTTTATCTGTACATAATGATAGGTGTATGCAGACTTGGGACGTGGATGTTTCAATAGTATACTATGGTGTATTCAAATATATATGCAAGAGGTATAACGAGCAAAGTCTGTACATATTCGTAGCGTTCAGACTGCTCTAAGTATGTATGATATCCAGCAAATGGAGATTTCAGCAGTCAACACTATTCCAGCTATGTTAAGGCGATCTGTAAATAATCATGAATCGTGACCCCACGATCCTCATTTTAGGAGACGTTTATGAAACACATTTTACTTTTGTTTGTTTTGTGTTAAACGCCGCACTCAGCAATATTCCAGCTATATGACGGCGGTCTGTATATACTGGAATCTGAACTGGATAATCCAGTGATTGATATCGTAAGCATCGATGTCCGCAATTGGGATACGATGACATGCATCAACCAAGTCAGGGAGCCTGACCACCCGATCCCGCTAGTCGCCTCTTACGACACGCATAGTCGCCTGTTACGACAAGCATGGGTTGCTGAAGACCTATTCTACCCCGCATCTTCACGGGTCACATTTTACTCCTTGATTGGGGTACTTGAGATCTATTGTGCCCTTGTTATATGTAGTGCGTTGTCGGGAACGTCTGCGTTAACATACTCAATACTCTTACTCAGTATTCAATCAGCGCTAAGGTGATCGTAACTCCCATACCTTAACACAGGCTTACGATAATCGTTGACTAAGATCGCTTTGTGCAGCAGGGTCCCTGATGAGAGACAAGAAGTAGCCATGAAACGTCGTTACAAGAATGAAGAAGTTATCCATTAAAAATGTCATGTATTCACGTTCTTCCGACTTCTAAATGCCTGTCAAAGACTTCAAACGTGTACTGCTGTTGCAAATCTCGTACACCAAGAACATGCAATTCTTAGCGCAACCCGTCTAAGTCTAGGTTTACTGTTGGAGTATGGGGATGGCGATCTCTACCTCAGCGATCGCTTGCACTCTGTCCCCATTTATAGTACAACTCCTATAGCAATGTCTACATTGTACGTGTATGTTCTTTTGGCAGTGCGGCAGTTGAACAAACGTCGGAAGATCGGAGACTCGGATCTCGAGGTTCCCGTTGCCGAGGGGTTCTGGGGTAAACCCACGAACCTTGACGACGCCAAGTATGACTTTCTCTGCGTGGAGGCCACAGTAACATCGACACTGGACTCCTCTAGAAGACATACAATAGGTAAGACTATGCTAGAAAAGCAATATTTACAAACTGATATAGTGTAAGCATGCCTCACGACATCGAGGTCTTTCACATAAAGATGTCTTGCCAAAGCAATTCGTTTTATTTATCAAAATAAAACCATCTACCACCTTTTCTTGGGTCAGAATATATTCCATGATCTTTATGTTGCTTGTCTAGGGGAGAGTGTGATTCTGGTTATTCGAAAAGCCCTTTGTCTGCTAAGAATTGTATGGTTGTAGGACCAGTGAAGATCGGGTTTGCATAGGTCTTCAGCAACCCATACTTGCCGTGAAAGGCGACTAACGGGATCTGGTGGTCAGGCTCGCTGACATGGTTGATACATGTCATCGATCCCAATTGCGTGGATCGATGCTCATGATATCAATCACTGGATTGTCTGGTCCAGACTCGATATTTACACAGACCACCGTCATCTTGCTGGAATATTGTTGAGTGCGGCGTTAGACAACAAACAAACAAAGCATGGGTATAGACCTCAGACTTGCATCACTTCGGACTTTCCTTCCACATCAAGCTGGCAGCAATGATACAACTAAAATACTGTTCACAGCGGCGATAAACCCAATCTCATTAAAATCAGATCTTAGTTCTCGCTACCGCTAAACTTTGTTTAGCGGTAGCGAGAACTGAGGTCTGATTTGAATGCGATTGCGATTGCGATTAACCCAACTCACTCGCTTATCAGTCTATATATGTATTACCTGTCTTAAACCGTAGCAATGTGGATAGGTTTAAATCAGGCCATTTAAACACCACACTCAAATGTCATGATGTTGATCACTCAAGCAGTTACCGATTACCTCATAAATAAGATGCATAAAATGTCAAAATTTCACACCAGGGACACGCTTATCTTTGAGTGTGTTTTTTTGTAATCCAACCCAAATCCTACTTATATGCGTTTCTTGCTCTTACGATTGTAAAGGGGAGGTGGGAAACGTTCGCTCGTCAAACCCAAGGCCGGGGTTCGATTCCCCACCCGCCATCATAGTACTGGAATATTGCTAAAAGCGACGGAAGTCCATACTCACTACACTATGATTGTAAATCATTAACAAATGTTCCTTACGTGTGCTCAGACTATATTAACACTACGTATGTGTGCGGTCCCGCGACGATTCAGGTTAAAATCTTCAGCAACCCATGCTTGTCGTAAGAGACGACTAATGGGATCGGGTGGTCAGGCTCGCTGACTTGGTTGATGCATGTCATCGTTTCCAAAATGCGTGGATCGATGCGTATGTTGTCAATCACAAGATTGTCTGGTCCAGACTCGATTATTTACAGACCGCCGTCATATAGCTGGAATCCGGGGTAGAATAGGTCTTCAGCAACCCATGCTTGCAGTAAGAGGCGACTAATGGGATCGGGTGGTCAGGCTCGCTGACTTGGTTGATGCATGTCATCGTATCCCAATTGCGTGGATCGATGCTCATGTTGTCAATCACTGGATTGTCTGGTCCAGTCTCTATTATTTACAGACCGTCGTCATGTAGTAGGAATATTGCTGAGTGCGGCGTTAGACAACAAACAGCAAACTATGGCATCTGATGCTTTTTTTAATGAGAATACATAATGTTGTCTCTTGTGGTATTTGTAAGGATATAGAGTTTAACAATCTGCTTGTTTCAACAGATTTCATGGTCGATTCTGGAAGTGACGTCACAACGTTACAAGAGGATCTTTTATACACACTAAACCCGGAGCTGATCGGGCCCATCAACAGCAAGGGAGTTCACTCTTCCCGGAGGAAGAACCTCTACAGAGCCAAACTCACCATTGGAACTCAAGACCTGGAAATAGAGGTAGAATATTAACGTGCGAGAAAGCGACGTCAGTAGTTCAGGATACTTGATATTGGCTTGTTTAGCAATATAACGGGGACAAATGGGCAACGACTATCGCTTCAGAATAATAGGCGAACACTTTGACCAGGAAGCCGTTCAACCGTTCAACAAAGCGAAACAAGTCGCAAGTCAGTGTTAAAGAATACGAGTTATCATCGCGGTAGGCTTTCATCGCTTTGTGGAGTGATTTCACAAAGCGGTGTTAGAGCTGTCCCATGTCTATGTTAAATAATAGGAGTTTTGATCGTCTCGGCTCTAAGATCGCTTTGCGAAAGGGTGCCCAGTAAGTCGCCCCGCCTCTAAGAAGAGTAAGTGAGTTTGGTTTTAGCCACTGTTAGCAATATTCCAGCAATATCACGGCGGGGGCACCAGAAATGGGCTTTACACACTGTACCCATGTTGGGAATTGAACCCGGGTCTTCGGCGTGACGAGCTAAAGCATTCACCACTAGGCTACCCGACCGCCCCTCCCTAAGACGAAATAAGATAACATAATTATGATGATGATATGATCACTTAAATAAGGCAATACCCCATACCACAGAGGGCAGGCTGGAGGTAAGGAAAACGTAACAACATGCATTCAAATTTAATTTTCAGCTCCCTAGGTATCCATTATTCTTGAAGGGTTGTGAGTTAAATGAAATACTTTCATCGGTATTTGAAACATATTTGAAACCACCTTTCTCTGATACTGAGTTAGCAATGTGAGTACTATCCATGCTGTATTGCACGAATCGCCAAGTTATAAAACGTGTTATTGTTTTTTTCAGGTTATGGGAGAATCCTATAATTCCCTGGGAAGTCGCGTGCTACGTCACTTCCGGCATTACATCACGGGATCTAAACATATATGGCTACCTGGTGACTTCTTCGACCCAACCATGTCGTCTGCCTTAATGAAGGCAAGCCGACCCGATGACTCTTCAGAATGTACGAAGCAGACTCCTACCACTCATGAAACTGGCGAGTCATCCCAGAAACAGTCAGGTGAAACAAACACAATGACCTCACAAGATACGCCGATGACGTCGCTAAACATGCCGACAACGTCACATCACACGTCGACAACGTCAAATTGTCCTGAAAAAATAGAAGACAATATTGTTCATATAAACCAGCTTGATTTAATAGCACACGATAATGAAATAGCAGAAAGGGGCCCAGATCGTGAGGTTATTGCACCCTTAGGTAAAGACTGTGGTGACTCCAGGGATTGTGCACGTGAACAGGGGCTCGAAAGTTCTAGTGGTGCCGTGGGAGAAATAAAGGACAATGTTGACGGAAAACTATCAGCACATAATGGCCATATATTACACAATGGCGTCACCGATTCATGATGAAAACAATTGGAATCAAATACTTCCCACACAAGTGCCAGCAATGCTTTATTCATCCACTGAGATGATGGCATTACGAATGACAATGGGGCCGATGGCGGCAAAGTAAACACGGCACAGCTCATTGTGTTCTTGCGTTGACGGGACTGTGCGGCATAGTGCGGTGATTACTGTGAAATAGTCAAGTTGTTTGGTGCCAGGAGTCACTACTGCCTGGGACATCCGGGGTATGGTCTCTGCTGTTGGAGATATGTCTCATCTCTACTGGAGGCCATAGACTGGATAATCGAGGGTGCAGGAGTCACTACTGCCTGGGACAACCGGTGTATGGTCTCTGCTGTTGGAGATGTGTCTCATCTCTACTGGAGGCCAGAGACTGGGTAATCGAGGGTGCAGGAGTCACTACTGCCTAGGACAACCGGTGTATGGTCTCTGCTGTTGGAGATGTGTCTCATCTCTACTGGAGGCCATAGACTGGATAATCGAGGGTGCAGGAGTCATGCACTGACGTACACGATCCCTTTTCTTCTCGATGCCTGTTTATACAGTGAACACAGAGCTTGGAAGCATAATGGTGCTACTATTTAAATTATATTTACAGATGAAAATGGTTAATGTGCTACCCCGCATACCCGACGGTTACATTTGAGAAACACAGAAAAATGACTTTCAGAAACAAAGGGATATTACTCAATATTTGATTATTTCATCGGGGATTTGTGGGAATGATGACATCCCTACAAAGGGGTTTCACGATGTACAATAATAGCGACCAAACCATTCCCATAGTCATAAGAAATCTCCAGTGTCCTGTGTACGAATCCGACTATGCAATATACCTGTGTTAATGAATCAACATCCAATAGTGATGACACTAGGTGTTGGCGAAAAGATGAGCGTAACCTGCCCACCCGTGACCCGTAGTAAATTTGGACTCGTCCCAGCCCTAATAGATATGCAGTGAGTGTGTGGAACACCACATTCATACCACTGTCTTCTTGCATATTCACATGCAGTATTGTTATTACAAATATTTTGTGTTGCAATAGGTTATTGAATATTTATCAGCTGTGTTCAAATTGTGGTGATGAGGTTTGCAGGACACCGGCTCAATAACCGGTAAAACATTATGTGAGCAATTCTTCTCGCCAGGTGCACTCGTGTAGATTTCAATGAAATCGAATTTGTACTAATTTTGTTACCTTGATAATTTCTTATTAATTTGTTATGACCAAAGACAAATATTTTCATAGATATTTTAACATTTTTATAAGATTTATTTTATCAGTATATTTTTTATTTTTTACATTCATCATGTTTTGTGTATTCATTTATTCTTCCAGTGCACTCGTTTATTTAGTTTCTGACTTCTCATTTTTTTAATACATGTATCCAGATATTCCGGTCCAAAATATCTTCATATGTTAGTTCATTGGACCATTTGACGTGTTACCCTAGTTACAGCTCGCTTCACATTCCACGTTCCAGTTCATCATAATTGATTCACATTTTGTGCAATTAGATAACGCTCACAAACTGTCAACATGCAATAATACATAAATGTTATTTATAGAAAAGCTGTTTTATTTGTTATTGTTTTGTACTGGTAATTATAAAATCTTACTTGTTCTTAATCGATGAGTTTGTTGTTTATCGTGTGTATTTCATTTACATTCAAACACGTCGTTGAAAGATGTGTGTGGAGTTATATTCACTGCACGTGGTTTGAAAATATGATATGGACCACGGATATTGATAAAATATGGACTCCCACGGATATTGATAAAAGCGGACACAGTCGCGCAAGAAGTGATATCTGTAGGTAACACGTACGTGTATATTGGACAAAATGACATGTCTTAGCTTCATCTTGAACCAGTTATTACAGGTTTTGAGACTTTACACCTATTAAGACCAAAAGACTTGGTTTCCTATTTTTGTTTGGTTATTTGTTGTTTAATACCGCACTCAGCAATATTCCAGCTATATGACGACGGTCTGTAAATAATCGAGTCTGGACCAGACAACCCAGTGTTTGACATCATGAGCATCGATCCACGCTTTTTTGGATACGATGACATGCATCAACCAAGTCAGCGAGTCTGACCACCCGATCCCGCCAGTCGCCTATTACTGCAAGCATGGGTTGCTGAAGACCTATTCCATCCCGGAACTTCACGGGTCTTCGGTTTCCGACGTGATTGTAGGTCATCTGAAAGGAAGTTTAACCCACCGTAATGACCCACAATACATTTCCTGATTGGTCAAAATGGAATGGATTAGACTTCTGAAACCCTTTTGAAGCTAGTTTTGGTTTAAATTCAAATGAAGCAAACTTCTTTTCCATGTTGCCTTGTATTTTCAAATTCAAGCGTCTTGTCAGAAGTCATTCGTGACCAACTCGTGTTATTCCGGGACAAGCCGAATAGCGACTCGTGCCCCTCTCGTGGCCATTTTTGCAACCGGGTTCCGTCTTTGCGCAAACGGGCATACCTAAAACAATTGTCAACTCGTTGTGTAATGGTTCACACATATTTCCCCGTATATTATATATATTTTAGATACAATTTAAAGCAGATCTGGACATGCGGATTTATACAGTATGTTTGAACACATTTAACTGTGTCTTGGGTATATTTTTAGATGCAAGACATATTTAAAATCATAAATTGTTTCCGAGGGATTCTTTGACGAAGAACTTGAAACCATACGCGCATTCTGATTGGTTTGTCGTATTTTCGCACATAACATTCATCGATAGGGGGACGAGTCTTCTTGCAGGTTACGGAAAGGGGCGAGTGGTGACGAATGGTCAGAAGTTACCGGAAATGCCGCGACGATGGATACATTCGGAACCTTTCATTGGAAATTTAACTATCTCGAATATCATCGAAATATTACGATGCCGAGTGTGAGTATCGATTGAATCATTTGCGGCAACCAGAAATGACTGCTTACGTTGCACAAGCATTTCAACGGAATTTGGCCAAGAAGTTTAACTTAAGCTCAGGTATATCTTCAACTTTCCCTTTATGACGAGCAATATTCGAACATTTTTTAAAATCCAACTTTTGAGGTACAATCGAGCATGCTCTTTCTGGAAAGATTTCAAAGAGCGTCATATATATGACTTGCTAAATATTGTTTGATCAGCTCTTCATCGAAGGCCTTAGTAAAGCTTTCAAAAGGTTTTATGGAAGACATGTAGAGGACATTTCCAAATTTGACGCATCCGGTTGAATGATGTCACTCCCGGTCGGGGAAATACTTCTGTTTTGCAGTGGGACTTCCGAAATTTTGTTTGTTGTTTCTCATCTCTCAGCAATATTCCAGCAAGATGAAGGCGGTCTGTTAATAATCGAGCCTGGACCAGACAATCCAGTGATTGAGATCGTGAGCATCGATCCACGCAATTGGGATAGGATGACATACATCAACTAAGTCATCGAGCCTGACAACCGGTCCCGTTAGTCGCCTCTAACGATCCACAAGCATGGGTTGCTGAAGACCTATTCTACCCCGTATCTTCACGGGTCAAATGAACATATGAATCATACGACTTCCGCTATAGTATTAGGTATCGAAGTCTCTGGCACAGTCAGTATAGATCAATAAGCACATGTTAAGCAAGTTTACTTTTCTATTGCTTTTTAAACATTTTACAGGTTAGAGTGCTGCAATAGTGGCTATTTTTCTTCTTTTAAAATTTAAACATTCCTTTTTTTAATATAAAACAACAACGCCAGGGAGTAGCCAGTGCTGATAATCCCCCAAAACAGGTTCCATTGGGCGAAGAAACCAATCTTTAGTAAAATATTCTCTGCAGATTTCAAAATAATCAAAACAATGTGGCACAATGGATGTTCATGTGTATACTTGATGTCGCGGATGTTGTTTCAAACCGAAATGCATCCAGGGATATATAGACTATTTTCTGAGAACATTTCATGTTCATTAGTTAACGAAACGCTCAGTGCTGAAGAACCGACAGACACAATGGCGGGACGCATTCCCATGACTTTGTGTCAAGGTGAGGTCAAAATAGAGAGGTGGAAAAATACACTTATCCGTAAACTGCACTGGTGATGTCAACTATCGGTGATCATAGTATGAGTGAGTGAGAATTTGCGTTTTACCTCCGCTTGAACAGTATTTCCGTCATAGCACGGCGTGTCATCTTGATGTGGGAGGATGGATGCAGGTCTTACACGTTCATCACTTTGGAGTAGCTTGACAGCATGGGTATGATGCTGACAAACTCAAAATAAGAATCAGGGCGAATTCTGCCCCAGCTACAATATTGGTATGAAGCTTACCTGGGTTGCACAGCCGACGTAGAGCCTAATCAATACACGATGAACCATTTAAAAAAATACAGAACAGGTATGTATATATTACGGAAGCCTTTTAGGGCCATTTGGTTTTGGGGTTGTTGTTTTTTCGATACTAAGTTGAAATTTCAAGACACTAAGTTGAAATTTCAAGATACTAAGTTGAAATTATCTTGAAATTTCAAGATACTAAGTTGAAATTTCAAGATACTAAGTTGAAATTTCAAGATAGTGCAACCTCGGAATACATTTATATAGTGTACATGTTTTGATAGTTCATTGTACTGGTGACGGCAAGCTGTAGTGGTGGCAAAATGGAACCTGATCGTGTTCAACTTATTACTACATACTTCTCCCTTGGATTGACGAACAATGAGATTCTGTGTTTCCTCGCCCATGACCACGGGATGATAATAAGCAACAGAACTCTGAAACGATGGCTGTCCAAGTGTAGGTTGTTTCGGAGAAAAGAATGCACGGACATTCTGCAAGTTGCTTTGTATATGCTACACGATTGTGACTCTTCTGGTCGACAACACGGCTATCGTTGGATGCATTGAAAGTGTCATGAAAAGGGTTATGTTGTTGATAAAGAGACTGTTCGGTGTTTACTTTATATAGCAGATCCTGATGGAGTCAACTGTCGCAAAAAGCATGCATTATCAGGGTATGAAACTCCCAAAAATTTCAGCCAGACCACAGGACTGGCTAGCTGAAATACTTGCCAGCCCTGACCAAAACCTGCCTGCCCATTATAATCATATGTTTCTCAGGATAAGCTAACGGGGTTTCTTTTTGGTTACATTTTATCATTCATCTTTACATGTGAATTAATGCTTATCATCGGGAAATATTTTGAATATTTTCACATATGAAATATAACCCGACCGTCGGGCAGGGGGGTTTGAAAATCTGGCAGCCCGAGTTGAAATCAACCCGTCTCGGACGGTCGGGCAGGCAGGTATTTCGAACACTGGCATTATTACGTCGAACCTATATCTGTTCAGGACCAAATTCTGTATGGCACATGGGTGGTTACGATAAATTGAAACCCTACGGCATTTGTATACACGGATGCATAGATGGCTTTTCAAGATATGTAATTTGGCTTGAAGCTTGGGTGACAAATAATGACCCTATAGGGTAATCGCTGGGTACTACACTGAAGCTGTGAGAAGACTAAACGGTTGTCCAGAACGAGTTCCATCTGATCTGGGGACAGAAAACACATCAGTAGAACACATGCATCGTTTACTACAAGCCAACATACTGACAGATTCCCAGGTCACAAGAGTTTCTTGTGTGGATCCAGTCATACAAATCAACGGAAAGAGTCGTGGTGGTGTATTCTCAGGAAGCAATGGGCAAAGTACTGGATGGACCACTTCAAACAGCTTAAGGAGGATGGCTATTTTTCAGGAGATTTCATAGACAGGAATCTTGTCCAATTCTGCTTTCTGAGTTATATACAGGTTTGTAGATGTATTTTGTGTTTGAAGTATCTTGAAAATATCAATGATGGCGTTATTTATAATATCTAATTAATATTTTTTGACATGATTATATATGTCTCACACAATTCATTATGCCATGTTTTAATGTAACTTAAAATAAATACTCTCCAAATAATACATTCATGTAATGTATGGTAAATTCAATGTTAAATTTAATGTATTTATCAGTATGTTAAGTATATGTAAATTCAGTGTTACAATTTTCTGTTTCAGGATAAACTCAGAAGTGTCGCACACACATGGAATTTTCATCACATGAGAGCCAACAAGTAGAACCCAGGTCAACATGGTAAACCAGCAGTGTTGTATTCACTACCCACATTGTATGACAAGGCAGACCACGTGCAGACTGTTGACCCAGATGTCCTGCAACTGTGTGAGGAAGAGGCCTCTACACGAGACATGCACATGACATGCGACCCAACAGTGTTTGAGTTGTGAGTGAGTGAGTGAGTTGGGTTTAACGCCGCTTTTAACAGTATTCCAGTTATATCACGGCGTGTCAGCTTAATGTGGGAGGAAAGCCCGAAGTGATGCAGGTCCCAGACGTTTACCACTTCGGTGAAACCCACGAACACGGGTATGGTGCTGACAAACCTAGAAACATAATCGGGCGAACGTTTGAGTTGTGTGTTTCGATCATGGAAGAAAAGCAATTGCTGTTTCCAGAGGACAAGACTGATTTAAAAAAAAATGTATTTGGGTCTCAGAAGAAAAATAAAACAGGAACTTTTTGAGTATTAACTTTTGAGGGAACGTGAAGGAGCAGGAATGGATGATCATGATAAC